AGACCCTTCATGCTGGCTCCATTGCTCTTTTGACATGGCTGCATCTTTTAATTTCTTGGAATTCTTGCACAAGAAGGTGTTCTAGGCTCACCTTGTTTATAACCTTCCACAAACATAAAAGCAGCCATTCCTCAAAAGATACCTGATTCCTTTAATGAGGGAATGGTACTTAGACACCACAATTTTATCTCCACCCATACTTGTTGATATTGAGTTGTCACTGCTTACAGACCCTTTCAGTTGGATGGAATTAGGAAATACATATTTTAAGAAAATGAAATAAAAATTTGTGTGTATTTTTCCAATTTTTGCTTAAATTCTTTCATCTTGCACATATCTCTTTCTTTCACAAGAGAAAGTCTTGGTTTCTAACAGCACTAGTGTAAAATGTCTTTGTTTTATCCTGGAAATATATATATATATTTTTAATATATATATATAGTTTTAAATATATATAATAATATCAGAATTGTTAATAGCAACAATAAACGCTGAGTGAGTTTAGGATTTCTTTGCAGATCTCTTCAACCTTAGGTATCGTCCACTCAGAATGTACAATGAAGATGTTCAAACCATCCTGGGATACGAGAGGGCTCCGCATGGATCTGCCTTACTACCACGGCCCTCTGTGCAAGCGAGACTGCGAGAACCTGCTGCTCGAGGAAGGGGTGGATGGCAACTTTCTGTTAAGAGACAGCGAGTCTATGCCAGGCGTCCTGTGCCTCTGTGTCTCGTGAGTAGTCCCGTCTTCCACACATTTGGAACCTTATGCTGAATGTAGGACTGATAGTCAAGTGGGAAAGGCATTGCACTTGACTGGCTTTGCAGCCCAAATGAGCAGAATGAGAAACAGATCGATACTGCCAGGAGGGGATGGGAGGAACGTGTCTGTCCAGGCCCCTCCACCTGCCCTTCCCTCCTGGTGCAAAGCCCGCAGGAGCAGACTCTGTGGAGCAGCAGAAGGGGTGGGGGTGAAGAGAAGGGCTGCGGGAAGCCTGGGAGGCGGGCAGGGATGCAGAGAAGGCAGCTGTGGGAGAAAGACATCTCCAGATGTCTGTTTATTTAGTATGGAAAAGGCAAGAAACTCTTTTTTGAAATTTCAACCTCAGAGACCAATGTTTACATGCATTCTGCCACCCCTGATTGTCATATTTAAAATGCTAATACTATTTTCATTTTATTTAGATTTATAAAAGGCTTTACCATGTATCATCCATTCTTGTCTCTCTCTGGGTCTACTAAGGTAAGTATAAATAATCACTATCATTTAGATGAATAAGCAAGGCCAAAATTCCTCAAATGACTTGCTCTTGCTAAAATTCATCTGAAATCAGGTCAAAACGCCAGAACTATGCTACAGAGTGATTACTTAGAGCCTAGTGTAGAAAGCAAAGCTGAGTGGATAATCACTTTAGCCTCCCAAGAAAATGTGGACCACTGAAAATTTTTATCTTTTACCGACTATGGAAATTAAAATCAAGTGTGTCAATCTTACAAAGAAGATATATATTTCTCTCTGGGGATACAGAGATGAGACAGGTAGCCCTAAGGTGTTCTGGGTCTACTGCAGGAAAGTGAGTTTAAGCAGATAATTATAATATTGTATCTTACTATATACTTAGAATTTCCAACTCTTGCCCATCTTCCTGTGCCAGTGTTGTCATCTACACATGAAACCTCTGACCTTCTGGGACCATTTCTTACCTGGGCCACCACATATCTGCCAGGCCAGGCAATGAAATTACTACCAAGCCTCTACTTCTATTACCACCTGGGGTCTCAACCTGCTTCTGCATTGAAGCAATTTTATTACTTGGGACTTCATTTCTCTTCTTTGTCTTTTCCTCTGGGACCCAGTTCTTCTTCCCTTTTCTTACATGCCTTTCCACTGAGCCTTGTGGACCCCTTATAACATCATTAACAAATTCCCACACATCTTTTATCTAATTGCAGGATGTTCCCTTTATTAATTATCCATAACCAGAATCAGGCTGGCTATTGACAGCATTCTAATCTACTTCTGGGACATCCCATAACAGACGGAGTAATCCAAGATCCTTAGCAAGCCTTATGAGGACCTGCCATTGTCTGATTTGTCTCTTCAGCCTCTTTATTACCCCTCCCTGCCTTGCAGCTAAGACCCCAACAACTGTAAAGTGCTTACATCTTTCCCTGTGCTGTGGTCTCTCATCTACATTCCTAGCTCCTGCTAGGCTATCTGTCTGAATGCTCTTCCTCTCACCCTTTATTTCTCCTTCCCCTACATAGGGTAACTCTTAATCATTCTTTGAGAATCAGCTAACATTTACTGAAGACTTACTAAATGCCAAGCACGTGAATGTTCTGCCTTAATCCTTTCAGCACTCATATGCAGTAGATTTTCTTTTTTTTTTTTTTCATTTTCTAAATGAGGCAAGCGAGGCTTTGAGAGCCCTGGGACCACTCTCTCCAGGAGCATCCCACCCACCAAACAGTGTTAAGTATTCCTTTATTACCCTATGAATATTTTTATCATTGTACTTAGCACATTAGTATTATAGCAATATGTGTATATGTTTTCTTTTTTTCACTGGGCCAATGAATTCCTTGAGAGCAGAGATTATTTCTTACTTATCTGAGTTCTCAAACCTAGGAAGATGACCTGATCAGTGAATATTTGCTGCATGAATTTTATGCATGGATGATGGGGGAATAGGTACCATAATACAGTTTGCCCAACTACTATGAAAACAGAGAGAAGGTAGTACAGACTGCCTAGAAGCAGTTTAAAAGAGGGACTCAGAGAGGAAATGACACCTCAAATGAACTTGTGTGAAGAGTAGGAGGTATCAGACAAACAAGGGAATGAGAACACAGCAGCAGCTTCAGTGTATGTCATGTGCAAAGATCCCAGATTTAAAGTGTCCCATTGTGTCTGGGCAAGGCTGAGAAATAGGGTGTGTAGATTTAAAAGCAGCAGGAGATGACAATATAAAGGGAGAGAAAAACCAGATTATAAAGGGCTTTGCATAGGTACCTTGAATGATTGTAAGCAGGGAAGAACCTGATTAAATTATTTAAATCATCTATTTAGACAGTGGGTGGAAAATGGCTTGAAAGGAATGTGGAGTGATCTAGGGGGAGTTAACTGAAACCATTCAGGATAAAGGAAAGGGCATGAGCCAAGCTGATGGCAGTGAAGATGACGAAGATGAGATGGATATGAATGACAGGCTGCAGAAGTGACTGAACTCAGTTACAGGCTAATTGTGGGAGGTGTGGGAGAGGAAGCAGTTTCAGATGACTCCACAGTTTTTGGTTTGGGAAATGAGATCAGAGCAGTGCTATGAACTAGTGGTGAGAACTGGGGAAAAAAAAGAAAGAAGAAGGAGAAGAATAGCAAGTTTCAGTGGCAGGAGGCACAGACAGATAGAGAGGAAAGATAATGAATTCTGTTTAGGGTATATTGATTCTGTAGTACCTATGTGATGTCCAGACAAGCCATGTGCATTAGCTCATGGCTCCTTCGCAAAGCCATCTCCACTAGGTAATATATCCCTGTTTTGTGGGGAAAGAAACTGGAGTTCCTCATTAAATAACTTGTCCAAGATCAAATTGTTAATATGTTGTTATGTTCCCTCTCTTACCAATGTCCCCAGTTCCACTGAAATATGTTCAAGGTGGTCACCTTGGGACTGTGTTATACAGTGTCCACGCAGGGCACTTGAGGGCTTGGCAGTAGATCCTGACATGTGAAATCTTGTCATTTTGCTCCCCAGAGATGAGCTACACTTCCTTCTTCACTGGGTGAGAATGGCAATATGCCAAGTTCTATGCTTTCACGATCTAAATGAATATTCTATGGGAGAAGGCTAGAAATAAAGGAAGGAAGTCACAGGGAGAGTTGACCTAGCAGCGTATAGCGCCGACCAGAAAGCTATGTGGTAGCTGTGGACAGGAAATGCTACCTGATCTCACAGCCTGACAGAGCGTGCAGAGAACACCAACATGCAAAACACTAAGTAGGTGACTTCGTGAGTGTAGAAAGTTGGAAGTGGGTCTGCCTTTACAATCAGCAGAGTCAAAATGGAGTGGATATTAGGAGATGTGTGGGATTCACCAGTTGGGGTGTGGAGGGACTTCCTGCAGTCGTAGGAAGCCTGCAGGTGAGGAGAACCTGAGCCCTGACTTAGGGCGTGTCCTTACTGAGGAGGATAATGGCAATTGAAGAAATGGGTAGGAAAGGCTCTTAAGAAGTCTTCGGGAATTCTCCAGATTCCAGAAAATAAGACTTACATTTTACAGCAGTTCATAGTAGAAAAATCAAACAAAATATAAACTCATAAAGCAGAAAGCAGAAGCCCTCTCATAAATGATCCTTGTGAATATTTTGGCAAAATCCTTTCTAGGTTTCTCTCTGTGCATACACATATCCACATACACATAAACATTCACACACACACACACACACACACACCCCTATGTGCATAGGTAGAATCATCTGATTTGCTGATCTGCAACATTTTGTAGCTCAAAAAAAAAATCACAGGAATATTTTTACATCCATGAAAGCATATACTCATAATCCTTTTATAATTACCTGGTATTCTATTGAGTGTATATATTGATTTACATAACTACACTGTAAGTTTTTCTCAATAAATAATGTGACAATAAAAATTTTCATACTTACATTTTTTTAAAGTCTATCCAGCTCTCTCTTTAGGTTAAATTCCTAAAACTAGTAGTGTTTGGTCAAACACCTGTACATTTAAAGCTTTGATAGGCATTTACAAAGTTATCCTGTTTCCCAAATATTATACAAATATACCAGGTGGAAAATCCTTAAAGTATTCTTTATTGACTTGAATTTCTCTTGTGTCATGTCATGAAAAAATGAAGGTCACATAAATGACATCACATGCACACACACACACACACACACACACTCATTTTTATTTCCTCCAAGTGACCTTTAAAGTTTGTTAAATTAAAACATGAGCATAAACGTCAGAACAGAAAGTGAGCAGGTTTCCCATAAGATGTTTGTCATCTGCTGCTGGTGAGGGATTGAGCACAGGCTCAGAGACACAGAGACACAGGCACAGCCTCTGTATTTACTCTATAGAAACAGGATGGACCTCCACCCCAGATCTGTTCAGATGTCAGGCTAATGATGCCACACACACACAAACAAACACACAAACACACACAAACACACACCCCAAGAGGATCTGAAAGGTTTACTATTTACATAATGAGACTTTCTGGGTAGAGCAGAACCATCTTCCAGAGCTGGCCTGAAAATGAGTGGAGAGAGCAAGAAAGTGTTAAAGTCAAACACAAACAGAGACGAGACTTGAAAATTCGCTGAGAGGGCAAAACCATTTTAGTCATATAAGCAAAGCCTGATTTTTGCAAGGCAAATGTGGTAACTTGACTTGGGTCACTTCTTGCTTATGCCTTCTTGGAGAATCATAAACGAAACTTAAATTGTTCCCCAAAATTGA